TTTCTCCTCCCATGAGTCCTTTTTGTCCTTTATTCCAGTTTTAGAAAACTTCCCTCACATGGTGTGTGTGTGTGTGTGTGTGTGTGTGTGTGTGTGTATGTGTGTGTGAAGATTTCAGAACTTTTCACCAATGTGGCTAATACCCTCCCCCGGATGAGTGCTTGGAGGAGTTCTGTGTATTACTTTTGGCTTGGGTATTCTTTTCCTGCTGTTGAGTGACAGCAGAGACTGCCTCCCAAAATGCTACTCAGTGCTGATAAGAGGAACTGGCAAAGGGCAACACAGAAGCTGCAAGAAGAGATGGAGTGGGTCAGGCTCAAGGGAGTCCAGCTTCCTACATGGCAGTATTCTGATATGTGGAAGGTGAGCTCAGGATTATTTTCAGCATCCATCAATATGAGGCAAATACTTGACATCTGGGGACTAGGGCAGGCTTTCTGCCTAACAGTGGCATTGACTAAGAAGTAACACATGTAAACTGATTCTTCTCATTGTCTTCCCTTTACCTGGACAGCAGTGTTGTGATGTTTCAGTACCTGTATAATTTTAGATTATAGTCTACAAAGACTGTTTCCAAATAGTCTGAAAAGGAAGGACATCTCTCGGGGTGTAGACTACTTTCACCTGTGGGAACTTGACTAGGAGAGCAAATGGCATCATTCTGACTGTATCTTGTCAACTCTAGACAGGTTTGCTCTTCTGGGAATCGGCTGCAGGTGCAAGAGATAGCGATGTCTGGTGACAGAGAGGCTCAAGTGGGGCTGATAAAGCTTCTTCCAATTCTGAGATTGCACCTTCCCACTATTTATGCATTTTTTGGCCCCAGGCAAGCATTTTTATAAATGGAGATTTAGCAGATGGTATGCATTCAGAAAACAGGCCAAAAGAGCCAATGCCTTCTGAAACCAAAGAAGCAGAAGGAAAAAGATACAGAAAAACGGTAAGGCGTCTGTACAACTTCTAGCTCTTGGTTTGTTGTGAGAGAGCTAACAAGACAATGCAGCCATCTGCTGGGCTCAGAGATGGAGAATGAAGGATATTCCAAGCCAGGAAGAGGAAATGGAGTGTGCAACTGCTGCCATTGCTAAATGGGCTCTCTAATTCCTCTCTCCATAATGGTAATGACTTACATTTATATGGCACCTTTCATCAGCTCTGATCTCAGGGAGCGCTCAAAGCCCTTTTTCCATTCAGCTCCTAAATCTGGTCTTCAGCAGGCTAAAGGATGACATCTATATGTGTGATATATCTATTTTGTAGAAGAACAGTTAATGTGAAATAAGACATGCAGATGCTAAAGAAATGATTCCAGAGTGGCAAAGGAAAAGGTAGAGGAGAAAAGCTGTGAGAAGTGCAGAGGCATATTTCTAATCATGGCCCTCAGTATCATCCAGCTCAGCCAGAACTTCTGCTGTAATATAAAGTTTCTGGAAGCTCTTAACATTTCCAGTAACTGAAGCCACATCTCATCTGCTTGATATCTTCTCATGCAGCTTCACATTTTTTGGAGTGTATCACTTTAAAGTGAATGCTCTTCACAAAGTATTGACAAACTCTGACACTGGGTTACAAGTGCTGCTAAAGACATTTTCCCCGATGCTTTGGGGTTCAGCAATAGAAAGGGGATTTGACTTGGGGTATATAAACATGAAGAGGCCAAACCTTGGAAGAGAGGGGAATGTTAGTGAATGTGGTTAAGATAGTCAACAAGATGAACAAAGACATCATGTATAACACTATAGATATAGAAACCACTGGATATTATGATTCATTAATGTGTTGGGGAAAGAATAAACAACATAACACAGAGACTGGTACAAAGCAGTGGTAAAAATAACTCAGACAGTTGGATTTCAGTAAGGAGAGAGGTGAAAAACTGGTCTGTGAAGATATTTCTCAGCTGAAATTTAGGAAATCTGGGCCATAAGGATTCTTGGCCATTGGCTGGGATTAAGTCAAAGCATGCCTTTTTTAACCTCATTTCTCCTGCAAGCATCAAGCAAAGGTATATGTGAACTATAAATGAATTTCCTGTTAAGACCTGGACCCTACCCCCAGGATGTCTTATTATATAGACAAAAAATTCCTCAAATCCCAAGAAAATCTAAACTCTAAAAATACTTCCAGTCCCAAATATTTCAGAGATGGTATACTCTACCCCACACACACCTTAAGGGAAGACACATCCTCAGAGGACAGACGGACTTGTACAGGAAGGGCAAGGGTGACCCAGGGGTGCACTGGGCGAGGGACCAGAACCTGTGTTCTGAACTTGTTTCAGTAAGCAGTTGGGCGGTGTACAATTGAGCTTCAGCCCAGTGAGTAAAACCTTGGGCTTGGCAGAATCAAACGATACAGCTTCCTTAAACCTGGGCAGGTCCTTTGATCTCTTTGACTCTCAGTGTCCTGATTTGTAATACTGTAATGAAAGTACAAGCTGAGAATCTATAAGCTGAAGATTTGAGATCTGAATTGCTCTAAAATTCAAAACTGTTTGAGTGTTGATGTGCCACAAGAAGTAGGAAATTCTATACCATGAATAAACTTTGTGTAGTGTACAAAGTTATTAAAATACTGCTTAAAGCTCCCATCAAGCAAAGGTATATGTGAACTATAAATGAATTTCCTGTTAAGACCTGGACCCTACCCCCAGGATGTCTTATTATATAGACAAAAAATTCCTCAAATCCCAAGAAAATCTAAACTCTAAAAATACTTCCGGTCCCAAATATTTCAGAGATGGTATACTCTACCCCATCTCTGTATTACAAGATTTCAGGAAGGTTGTTATGAAAGAGTGGGTATAAAATAGCTTCAAGGACTAAGGCACTGCCTACATGAGGTCTGGCCCTATAACTCACATAACCCAGGCACAGATAGTACCCTAAACAACAGGAATGCCGTGCACGAGGCCACACAGGGAGTTTGCAACAGAACCATGCTTACTATCCATCCTTTAGACTGAATTCAGCTTTCTTTCACACAGTTGTGCTGTCACAGTATCTATTCCTTTCCCCTCTGGCTGAAGATCAAATGAGAGATGGGGGGGAAAGTCGGGGGAATGCTGAATAAAATCAAGCATCATGTAAACGCAAACACAGAAAAGCAATATGGCTAGACTGTGGCCCCTCTTAGAGCCTCTCATTGACTGACATGAACCTCAACTGGGAAACTCTGGGAATGAAATTAGCACCCACCAAAACTGGCCACAGAACAATTATAAGAGCAACCAATAAGACTGTTGAGGAACTTAATGTGCAACAGCGGTTGGTTTTAGCTTCTGACATTTGCTCCTCAGTTCTATGAAGTTAACATTCTTGCTTGCAGGTTCTTGGCAATAACCTTCCACTATTATTTTCTAACTAAATAATGCCCAGAATATAAAAAAAATAAGAACACTCTCTGTCCATAACCAGTTTAGGTCTTGTAGGTCAGTTTCATTGTGCTGATAAAGATTGTTAGGGTTTCTCATGTGCAAGTTTACCCCTAGTTCAAGTGGGCTTAATCTGGGCTCTGCACCAAATCAAACACCTTTCATAAATTCTGTGGATGAGAAATGGCAAAACCACATCCACTTTGGGCAGGCATCAAGTGCGGACCATTTAGCCAAAGCAAGAGACACGACTGCTAATTGGCCTCTTCATTAACGAAGAACATCTACCACCACCACAACTCACAAGCAAGCGGCAATCTGGGGTGATTTTTAAGTGGTTTCTAACTCATGATCATATTTCTTCCTGAAATCTGCTGGCCTAGAAAATATCTTTCATTTCTCATGAGCAGACTGCTCTTACCTTCCCTAATTATGGACTCCCTGGGAAGAGAGAAGACAGGGAGGGATATACAGCATAAGCAGAGGTGAACCACTCTAACCAAATCTTAAAAATAGATGATTAGTCCTTTAAAATTGGGCTTTGATCAGGAAGTTTTATACTATTTGGGTCAAGGACAACACAAAATATTCCTTTAGCTTCTTCGACTTGTAAAAATGGATTTTCTTTTTCTTTTTCTTTTTCTTTTTTTTTTTTTAACCATTTTCTTAGTAAATATCTGGTCTGTTCTCCTGTAAAAGTCTTATCTTTATGCTGCATGGCCAGGGTCACAGGGATCCTTTTGCCAAGGGTGAGGCTCCCATGGATGGCCAGGAAGGATCTGGGTGGGTGGGAAGTTTAGCAGAAGAATTCTGCCAGCAACTGACAAAGGTGGGGAGAGTCTTTCTAACAGCGATGTACACTTCAGTTTGAGAGCAGTGAGCAAAGTCTCCATTCAGTAGACATGCTAAGTAAGACACATGGAAAGGTTCTGTGGACGTGGGAAGCACATAACATTCTTAGACAGATTCCTTCCTCTTGTTGTGGGGAAATGACAAGTGTGTAAATGCAGTCAAGGCTTTACTTTGGGTGTCTGAGCATGGCAGCTTTTTAAATGCCTATGGATCAAGAAAGGGCAACATGACCCAGGCTGTGTCTCTCAGATCACTTACACGTCAGGATTTACCGGTCATCTTATTGGGTCCAGTCAGTCTGCAGGAGATTTCTCACCTAGGATGGGTGACTCCTGGAGACAGCATGTCACATAAACTAGATTTTTTTCCTTGTCCAGTTTTGTCATTCTTGGAGTCCTTTTGGTATTTCTAATAAATTTTACAGGCTTTGCCAGCTTGCAAACTGTACCATATAGTCAGGGCTTAAGAGCCTAAGAAGAACATTTCCTATAAAGAAGTAGGCATGGTTGTAACTTAGGCAGTTATTGGGAGCTGCCTCTGGGTCCACAGTTTCCTAGGCAAAGGCTACAGGCTGGTGGAAAGACAGTAAATACAAAGTAAGCAATGTACAAAATGCACAGCAAACCCAAATGTGCACGGACACCAGTTATAATTTAGTTCCTACCTCTTTGCAAACTAGTAACTGCAATGTGCCAAAGGTAGCTGGCATCTGAAATTCAAAGCTTAGCAATTAAATAACTAGGTAGTCAGAGTCGGAAGGAAAACTTCTCCTTACCTGGAGATATAGAAGAGTCATAGGAACTTCTCTCCTTGCGGTTCATCTTGAAGGCTTGGATGTCCTTTTCCCTGTATGTCCCAAAGCCTTCAAAGCTTCTCCTTTTACTCCCACTCATGTCACTGTCCCACTTGTCACTGGAAGGGTTCATTTCACTGAACATGTCCAAGCTCTCAGATCTTGTGCTGCCACTGTCTCCGCCACTGCCAGAGTACCTTTTAGGGCATGAGTCCGCAGGTTCACTACTCAAGTCACCTTTATCCTTGGCCTGCGTCCAGTGCTGGGCATCTGAAAGTGACAGTGTAGACAAGGTGTCCACCTCAAAGTTGTTCTTGGAGGCCTTGTGGCCAGCTTCACTGTGCTGGTGCTTTTGTTTCTCCTTATGCTTGGTCTTCTCACTCACCAGTGGGAGCTCTTTGTCTGCACCACTCAACCGCTCGCTCAGCAGGTGGCTGGAGAAGCCTGTGGCTTTGCTTGCAAAGAGACCGCTCAGGTTGTCATGGGTCCCCAGGATCCGGTCTTCCTTGTGCTTATGCTTATGTTTGTGTTTCCTCTTGTGGAGCCGACCGCCGGAAAGAGCGGCACTGCCCACCTTAGGAGGGTTCAGTGAAGGCTGTATGTCACTGAGGCCCATGCCAACTGGTCCCTGCAGGTGTACACCATGCTTTGCTTTATGCTTCGTTGCCCCAGACATCTTCACGTGGGAGCTTGTGTGGAACTGAGGTGGTGGCACCGTTGGCCTCATGAACGGGGAAGCTGCTCCGAGCGTGTGCGATAGATACAGAGGAGCGGGGTACTGACCGTAGTAACCCAGGTTCATCATAGGCATTGATGTGTAAGGCATTCCATAGGCTGCATAGTAACTTCCACTGGGAATAGGGTAGCTGAACCCTTGTAAAAAAGGCACCTTTGTCATGGTGTCATTGGTTTTTGCAGGCCTACCACGCTTCTTCTTTGACTTCAAGTCTGAAGTCCTACGAAGATAGAGCAACGGGTCATACTGGATATATGGCACCGGGTAATAGTGATCAAAATTAATCCGGAAAATGCTGGGATATGGATTCTCATGGTAAAAGGTGTAACTCCGGTGGGAGATCCTGAATACTTGGAATTTGGTGATGAGTTCTTCCAGCTCAGCCAGAAACTGGAGATCATCACGGTTTTGCAGGCTTTTCCTTTTCCTCTTGTGCTTTGGCTTCTTGAGGCTTTCGTGAGCCAGGAAGGTGTCCACAATGAGATGCTTCTGCCGGTGGCCATGCCGGTTCTTTGTGCTGGTGTCAGATGGAATGGCCTCAGGGTTGTCCAAGGAGCAGAAATCAAAAGAGTACCTCCGTCGGGATTCTGAACTCTTCTCTGCTTGGTCAGACGTGCTGTTGTTGTCTGTCCCGATGCCACTGTCGCTTGGGATGGTCTCCTCACTGTGGGACTCACTCACAGGGGACAATGTGATTTCCTTTAGTGAGCCTATCTCACACAGGTGTGAAGGGGAGTTGGCCATTAGCCTGGGTGGAGACAGTTTCCAGGTTCCGCTGTGAATTCCCTTCTGGGTTTTGGTTGGAAGAGCACTGATGGGCTGGAGGTTTGGCATAGTTTTCAACTCTGAAAAACTGGTTTCAGTGCTGGCAGGGCTCAGGTTGCCAGTGGACCCACCCAACTGTGTGGAGAGTGGGTGCATAGCTGCTGGTGAGGACGCCACAAGTGACTGGAAGTTGGAAGGCACGGCTGGAACATCCGGCTGGCTAGAGACAGGCCTGGGGTGCTTGATGGCTGTTTTGGGTTCTTCAGATGGGGGTGGCAGCTCTGTTCTTGGCTTCCTGCCCCTCTTCTTGCCAATGTAGATGGTCCCCCTCTTGCTCACATTAATCTGCTTGCCCAGTTTGCTTTCAATTGCAGCTGCCCCAGGGCTGGTCTCTGGGGGAGCTTTGGCTTTCAGGGCAATGTTGCTGGAGCAGGACAAGATCTGGTTCAAGATGTTTTTTCTCTTGAGTGTCTTCATCTTATTGATAGTTTTGATGGTCTTCTTATCCAACACACCAAGCTTTCCAACCTTTTTATGAAATTTCATCTCACTCATGGGTTTGTCTTCTCCTGGCACCAACTGGGCCAACTTAGCTAAGTTGCGTCGCCTCTTTCTTTTCTTGGTGCCAGGGAACTCTCGGCTGATGGGACTGACTGGGCTGGTAGAAGTACCCTCGTGAATTGTCTCCACTGTGAGCAAAGGCTGCTTCTTTGGTCGCCCCCGCTTCTTTTTGACTGGTGTGATCACAGTAAGACTGTCGGTGTTGGTGTACAGAGGGCTGGATGGGGTGATAGGGTAAGCAGACGGGGGCTCCACCATCAGTTTGTCAGAGGTGGCCATGACTGCCTCTCGAAGCATACTTGTGGGTTTTGGTTTGCTGCAGGTCCACCTCCGTTTTGCAGCAAATTTTGGATGCTGGATTTCGGGTAGCTTTCTTGATGGGGAGTGGTCTGTGCACGTGGCAGACGTCATGACCATGGGTGGTTTCCGCTGCTTGGACATTCCTCCTGGGATGATTTTCTCTGCATTTCCACCAGTTTCAAGGCTAACTGAGGGGGACTCATTCTCTATCATTTTGCTCAACTTAGGGACACGGGAGTCTTTCTTACTTCCCTCTGAGTTGGAAAGTATCCTGTTAACGACTTCACTGCTCATGGAGATTCCAGAAGCCAGTGCTTTCTCTGGGATGATCTTTTCCACCACTGCTTTAATGGACTGTCTCTTTTTCCTCTTATGGCTGGCTGGATCTAGAGAGGGTGCCTTGATGGGGATAGTAATCCTGACATGACTAGAGTCAGTTTCAAGATTACTGACAGAACTCACATTCTGCTTGGCTGGCGATGCCTCCTGGGCATTATCTGCAGAGTAACCCTCTCTTTTCCCTTCTGTGTTTTCAAATGCTTTCTGGGCACTCTTGACCCAGTCCAGGTCTGGGTTTGGTACGGTTTGACTTATCACATCCTTCTTACTCGACTTTTTCTTGCTGCCTGTAGTAGTAGGTGGTTCTGGGGGTTCCTTTGTACCTCCTCCTTCTTGATCTACCAAGGTTTGGAGACCACTGCACTCACAAGAGCTGCTAGGAGGGGCTGGGGAGCTGCGGTTGCTTGGGGATGGAACCACAGCTCCCAAAAGCAGATCTTTACTGTTGTTAGACAACTGGCTCCATGTGCTCCCTGCACTGCCTTTCTTACCCTGGGCCTTTGCAAAGGAAGCCATGGGCTCAAGAGCTGGGATCTTGCTGGTGCTTGCAGTTTCTTGGCCAGACTCTGGACTGCTGAAGCAATTCTGAGTGGAGGGTCCACTGTCAGAGCTGGTGGACCAGTCCATGTGGTTCTGGCTGCTGCTTTTTTGCTGGTGCTTTGGTTTTAAGGTGTCACTGGTGAAGTCCTGTGGGAGGCCTGGATCATAATGGAGAGTTGGGTGTTTCTGGGGCCTCTCATAAGCCTAAGGGTAGGTAAAGTGGAGAGAGAGAGAGAGAGAGAGAGAGAAAGAAACATAATGAGGAGCATGCTGGAGCTACTTAACATTTAATATCAAAAAGCTTAATTATTTGAAAGTTGGAAACAAATGACTATTTTAACAGCCACCTTTAATCCCAAAATGCTTCACAGAGGTTTTCTCACTTGTTATAGTAAAGATATATATTGCACTGGTTTTGAACATTAATATGGATACTTTATTTCATTGCTCTCTTTCCCCTCTAAATAATAAGAAACGTGACCTATCATGGTTTAATGCAATCTGCAAATAAGAACCGCTTAGAAAGAAATGGGGTAGCGAAAAGTTTCTGAGCTCAACGACTATTTTTCACGAGGAAGAAGCTGAAAGTTGAACAATGGAGACTCTTTCGTCTTTCCTAGGCGGCAGAGCCAAAGAGAGTTTCTAAACTTCCTCACTCCCAGTGGTTTCTTTCTTTCTTTCTTTCTTTCTTTCTTTCTTTCTTTCTTTCTTTCTTTCTTTCTTTCTTTCTTTCTTTCTTTCTTTTTCTTTCTTTCT